GCAAACCTTGATGCCCAGTTCGATGTTCTCTCCGCCATAGACGTGCATCCCCGGGTCGAACAGGCCAAGCTCACCAAAGAAACTGCTGTGAACCACGAAGGAGCAGCCGATCATGGCAGGAGTCCTGCAGCGATGGAAACACAACATGAGCAYGTTYGGTGTGTAAATGGAAATCAGAGCCTGTTTGCAGTTGTCTGTGTGAATGTGGTTTTRTGCAGAAGCTCAGTATGTGAATCTGTGATTGTGTTTTTGTAAATTCAGTTTGCAGCAGAAACACTGGAGGTTTTTTGTTCATGACTCTTGAAGAACTGTGGGTCTGCTGCAGGTCATTCATGGGAAACTCTGGACGATGTGTTGGATCAGCTTACTTGATGGGAGCAGACGTGTCCCCGGCCTYGARCCACTCTTTGGGCGGGCTCATGTACATGCACCACAGCTCCCAGTTGTAGCCGTGGGCMRAGTCYCCGTAGTATTCCAGCTCGAAGCTGTCATGCTTGATGTTGTCGATGGAGGGCAGGAGGATCCTCTTGTGGTTCTCTTTTATTCTGAGCAGAATCGGCTCGGCCCTGACAGAAGTAAGAACACCGGCCTTCTCTTAAAGAGACGTATATTTGGGTTTTTACAGTAAAAGCTTCACAGGCTCTAATGTTCAGAAAACACTTTGCTTCCTCACACTCCATCGCTGCACTTCTTCTCTCTTCATCTTAGAACGATTGATTATCACTGCCACACTCACCAATAAGGYGTGAACTCCACATGGGCATCAAAGAATCCCGTCACCTCGCCCGTGGCCACCTTCCAGCCCTCGTTTCTGGCCCGGATCAGACCCTCTCTCTTCTGGTTCCTGACGATCTTCACCAGGCCGGGGAAGCGCTTGTTCACATAATCCTCCAGAGGTCCCTTCAGCACCTCTGCAGTCCCAACCAATACGAGGACATGACACAACAGCAAAGTGGAAAGATGGTGACAAACATTTATTTACTCGTCTACTTTGACTTTTTTTKGTTTCGTCCTTGTCCCATCTGCTAACATGGAGGAGGCAGGATTTATGAACTGCAGCCAGGCTTCACATTTGGGAGCTGTCATGTCGTCCATCTTTATTCACAGTCTATGACAATAACCAATAAGAACCTCACCTATAATTTGACATTTGCATATTTAGTAATCTCCGCTGCACAAAATAACATCGTATAAAGTGTTATTTGTTTTTTATTGAACCTTCATGTTCCCAAGCAAARCATCTAGGATTTYCTAAATATAACCAGCCGGAGGATTTGGGAAACACTGACCCTCATCGCTGTAGTCATCCACCAAGATGATTTCTTTGAGCAAGTGAGCCGGAGTGTGATTGACAGCCGTGTGGATGGAGCGCAGGATGACGGACAGAGCCTCGTTGACGAAGATGAAGATGAGGGAGATCTGGGGGAGGTCTCTCGGGTAGGTGATATTTTTGCATCTACAGAGAGAGACACACGCAGRCACAATGTACGATCCGTTAAATGAAACCTGTCCAAGGCCTAAGTGACACATCAGCTGGTCCCGGCCTTATTGCTGTTGTCTAGCAACAGAGCTGCAGCTGGTTTATTAACACGTGTCACGTTAGCTATTCGCTTTCGTCAC